CTACTCGACGAAATGCTCGTTAATCTTTGATTTAATTATTTCTGAGGTGAGTTGTATATATATCTTAAAAAATTTACTTTTTCTTAATATATAATATATAATATATTTTTTAGGATATATTATATGTACAATATATTATTTTTTATAATAATAAATATTTATATATTTGAAGATACTACTCGACGAAATGCTCGTTAATCTTTGATTTAATTATTTCTGGGGTGAGTTGCATATATGTCTCAAAATTTGCGATTTTGCCGCGGCTTATAGAAGCCGACAAACGGCTTGGTGTATTTTTCTATCGACGCCGATTGTCGCCGCCGCGGCTCCGATGATTTACATGGCAATAAACTAACGCCTTGGTACGGCCATCGAAAAACGCGTTTGATTTATCCGCGCACTTTCGCGAAGTACTGGACTTTTGCCAGGCCGGAAGGTCCATCTCGCCGGAAATCACGACCATAATTCAGTGTCCACCGCGAAAGAGGGAGAGAGAAAGAGACAGACTCTGTATCGTGAAAACTCGAGGGAAAGTCCGTCTTGCGGAATTTACATAAAGACGTGTTTTCGCAGATATCGATTCGTCCTCTTCGCGATACACTTCTTTTCAAATGTCGCCTCGAGGAGATATTGAATATTTTATTTAATTTACGAAACACGTTTATTGTTTTTCCTTGATAAATATTTAGCGTTTTGTTGCTCAAGTTCCTCGAATTTATTTTTTATTCGTAATCAGATATCGATTCGTCCTTTTCGTGATACACGTCTTCTTTTCAAATGCGTCGTCTCGAGGAGATATTTAATATTTAATTGAATTTGCGTTTATTATTTTTCGTCGATACATATTTAGCATTTTGTTGTTCAAGTTCCTCGAATTTATTTTTTCATTCGTAATCACGTTCCGGTGATTAAATTCGAGTCGATTAACACTCGAGAGTTTAACACGATTTACAATTGAATTTTTTATTCGTAATCAGATATCGATTCGTCCTTTTCGCGATACACGTCTTCTTTTCAAATGCGTCGTCTCGAGGAGATATTTAATATTTAATCGAATTTCCGTAACACGCTTATTATTTTTCGTCGATACATATTTAGCATCTTGTTGTTCAAGTTCCTCGAATTTATTTTTTCATTCGTAATCACGTTCCGGTGATTAAATTCGAGTCGATTAACACTCGAGAGTTTAACACGATTTACAATTGAATTTTTTATTCGTAATCAGATATCGATTCGTCCTTTTCGCGATACACATCTTCTTTTCAAATGCGTCGTCTCGAGGAGATATTTAATATTTAATCGAATTTCCGTAACACGCTTATTATTTTTCGTCGATACATATTTAGCATTTTGTTGTTCAAGTTCCTCGAATTTATTTTTTCATTCGTAATCACGTTCCGGTGATTAAATTCGAGTCGATTAACACTCGAGAGTTTAACTCGATTTACAATTGAATAACGCTTGATTTACTTTCGACGGTTAAAATCGAGTCGCAATTAACGGGTGGAAATTAACGTTTTGGGGAGGAAAACCGAGAATTTTCCGTCACGCTTTCGCTCATTGCTGGAGCAAGGAGGCCGCATAGATGTATAGGACAACACCGCGCTGGCTGATGGCGTTCACAGGAGTCAGTCGGGTCTGATTACACGTCGGCGCGATACCTTAACCCTCCCGTGAGAAGAGAGAGAGAGAGAGAAAGAGAGAGAGTCCACCCTTCCTGCTCGGTGGAAGGAGAAACACGGGCGTTTGCAATTTAACGGAATCTCTGCATATAGAGTGGGTTCATCGCGGGTCCGCACTTTAAATGACGTCCCGGAAGTCCCCGTGCTAATTCTACGGGTCCTCGGACGTGTATTCCGCCCCGGTCTGTGTATGTGCCCTCTCGACCCCTAAATTCCCCCACGCAGGCCAGAACTGGTTATGCAATGTCGGAGCTCGTTATAATTGCGAACCCACGACGCCAGGGAGAGAGATAAGGGCGTTTTACTAAACGGTCGTGGAACACTCTTGCGTGGGACGTCGTTTGTCAAGCCATTGATATTTATCCCCGTCATATGTGTAATATATGTGTCGCGAATTCAATATATTCATTAATTCTCCCCGAGAGGGAGAGAGAGAGAGAGAGAGAGAGGGTGAGTATAATATTTGCAACGATACCGCGATATCAGTTACAGCTTATTTTGCTGTCGATATTTTATCATGGCTTTTGTGTTCTGTTCGTATACAAATAATTTAATATAATTAAATCATTTTTGCCGAATATAAACGAATAACGGATGTTTGTACGCGATAGATATGTAATATTCGACGATATTTATTTCCGGCGCGCATAATAATATCATTTAAATAATAGATCATTTGACATTTAAATTGTTTTACTCGACGTGCAAAGTTTATGAATGCGAGTAATGTTTATGGTTTGCGAGAGATTGGCTTTATGGAGGAATCATTTATTGAATTTATTTGCATTATCATTACGGTTCTTTTCGACCGTTCGTTTCGTTTTTTTCTTTCGATGCGTACAGACGAGAGAAAATTATGACTCTCTCGTTTATTACATCATATCTACTCTGAAAATTGACCAGCACGAATACGAAAGTGCGGCTATTTAATTTATCGCGAGCAGATAAAACGTTCCATTTTCGTTTCATCGACAGGTGGCTGTTACAAGAGCCGCTCGATTTGTTGAAAATAAAAGCATACAAGATACGTTTGCTTAGCACGACAGGACGTCAGTTTTTTTTTTTTTTACACTGTTACGTCTAAGGATGATTTATCACCGTAAACATTTTTCATGTTTCTCACGAGCGACTCAAAGGTGATTGAATATAAATTCTATTTTGCTGTGGCTGTAAATCTGTTGAAAATGTTGAGATAAAACTTGCATCGACAATGCTAACAATGTTACGTTACACGAGAGAGATCGGCTCTCGTATAGTAGTAGTTTGTAATTGATAGTCTCGTGTGTATAATTTTTCATTCCGGATTCTCATCAATTTACTTCATCGTTGCTACCAGAGTTGAAATATGCTTATCGTTTAATCAATATCAAAACACGTTTCATAAATTTGCTTATCATCCGTACTGTTGGCTCAGAAAACAAAGTAACCAAACATCCGTACCTCATGTATAGAAAGAGATCTCGCATATCGATCTAGCAACCTGCAACATTTCCCTTCGATACAAAGAACGACTGCGCGTCACGAAAGTCTTTACGCTCTTCCACCACGCGGCTTCGTAATTATTCGGGACGTGATATATTCTATAATAGAGTATAACTGACTTAATGAGTTTTTTTTTACTCCTAATTATTCCTTTTTTTTTTAAAGCATTAGATAAAATTCGTAATTATGTAATATATATGTTATTTAATTTTTTTTTAAATTATGGAGTATTACTTTTTAAATTTAAGAGGTATCATTTATTTTATATAATATATAAAATGCTTAAAATGTAACATACATGTCTGTTTTATCCTACAAAAATATTTTCAAAAATTATAATTTGTCCTGTTACAGCATAAAAAAATTGTTGTCGCCTAAGAAAGATCTTTTAAAAAATAATAATAATTGGTGCACACGAGATACAAGCGTAACCATTTTCATAAACGACGAGAATAATTTTCGATTCGCGAACTCTCTTTCTCTCGTATCACAAAATAAGTAAAGTTAATGAATCTCAAATATGATTTATCCGTCAACAAATAATGCTGGATAAAACTTGAAAAAAAAAATTCAAAATTTAGATTAATGCTTGAAACACTTTAATTAATGAGAAATGATTTTTTATGCCGATTATCGAATTCTGCTCCTGTGCGGGACACGGGAGTCGTTGGCGGCAAACAATGGACGCGCGTTGTGCGGTGGCCAAGGGTTCGAGAAGGGTGAATTGCGACTACGTGCCCTCGCATACGAATCCGTCTACAGATGTACGGAACGGAATGGGTGGGTGCCCTCGAAGCCGCGTCGGCGTCTCCTTGAATCTAATAGATCGCGCCCAATACTTATGGTCAAATCGCGACCAACAACCCCCGGGGACTAGGTAAGGGTCCGCTCATTACCATTCCGTCCCGGCACTTTCAACCCCCCAATAATCGTTATTGATAATCAGAAATGCCTTACGAAGAATGTAAATCAATTCGAAGAACGTCCGCGTGAAAATTGCAGCGGACTCGAAATGATCGATTCCGTAAGCGTTTGAGTGAATCCTAATTCGAGATTCGGCATAAAAAATAATTTCTCATTAATTAAAGTCTTTAAAGCACAAATGTATATTTTGAATATTTTTTCAAGTTTTGTCAAGTATTATTTCTTGACGGATAAATAATATTTGAGAATTATTAACTTTACCTGCAAATCACACTAAAATCTTAAATGCGTTTTTTTTTTTTACAGTCGAAAGAGATTTTTGTTACATCATTTCTAAAATTATTAAAATTAAAGTGAAACTTGTCGACGGTTTTATTTTGCGGCTGTTCCGGGATTATTTAAGAATATTGATATTTTTCTTGGCTAACCGCAAGCAGACGAGAATCGACCGGACCGACAAGGTTTCTCGCTTTCAGGGAATCTGATTCTCCGACGTGCATTGGCGCGGTAATCTCCAAGTATACGAGAGGAGAGTGTGATCTCTCCTTAAAGTTTAAGCTCCTGTTAAGGCAGCTTAAAACTCAGGTAACGGGAATTACGTCGGGAATAGCCAGCCGAAAGTTACGGATGGATTTCGGAATTGCATCGCTCGAGAGACGAGAAGTTAATTGGAAATCAGTGTAATGGCGTTTTCCATCGATGAGTAGATCGCGTACGAAATTTTGCTATTTTTTTCGTGCGAGTACAATTTCAATTTCATATCCCGTTCTCAATTAATCTTGGCGGGCTATTTATGCGCGCGACGCATAGAAAGCTTTTGTCCGCGCACAACGAATGAAAAATGCGTATGCGTTACCTTGCCGTTTCGCATATTTCACATTTTGCATAATTCTTTGCCCTTTGTTATTGCAGGAGAGCTTGGAAGAGCGAGTGCAAGAGTTGGAGCAAGCGTTGCTGGCGGAACGTATCGCGGCTCAACGAGACCGAGCGACGATCACAAAATTGCAGCGGCAGATTAACAAGGTATGTTGTTCTTTCTTTTCAAGACGATAAACTCGTCTCGCGGAGTGAAAGCGAAAAGTCGGGATAAAAATGAGAGACTTCATTCAAAGTTTAAATATTAATATTCATCACTCCTCAGGGTCTGGAAAGATAAAAGTTATCGTCTAATACGATTAAAAGGAAGTTAATGACATGAGAAATTTATTCACATGCAGTGATAAGAATATGCGATAACTGTTATGATTTTTTTATGGAATAAAAAAATAAAAATATGCAAACAGATATCTCCCAAAAATGGTATACAATTTTCTTAAAAAGATTTGCGTATATATTCGTGGAAATTTTCATTTTCTCCCATCTTTGTATCTTAAACTCTCTGTATTGAGAGGAACCAAAAGTAGCGGAAGACACGTTAGTGTCTCATTGTCAGCCAAAGTCACGCGTAACCGCGTAATTAAAAGGAAGTTGACACGAGAATTTTATTCATGCAGTGATGAGAATATGCGATAACTATTATGATTTTTTCATGGAATAAAAAAATAAAAATATGCAGATATCCCCCGAAAAATGATATACAATTTTCTTAAAATACTCGTGGAAATTTTCATTTTCTCCCACCTTTGTATCTTAAACTCTCTGTATTGAGAGGAACCAAAAGTGGCGGTAAGACACGTTAGTGTCTCAACCAAACTACGCGTAACCGAGTAGTAGTAGCCAACTCGATCAAACTTCGGGAGCTAGGTTCTATCCGTTCGATGGGTCGAAGCATCTGAAAACTATGGTCTCCGTCTTGCCGTGGAGTCGTCGATCCGTTAACTTGGCTCGCTCTCCCCGGAACGGAGATTGCAATTGCGAGGACGGTTCAAGTGGTAGGTTAGTCTCGATCCGGTCCAGACTCCAGACTTGCACGCGCGGCTGACTCTTGCGGTGCGGTGGCATTCGGCGCCGCGTTCGTATCAGATAACGGCGACCCTCGTAAACCAGATCCCGCAGACTGCAGAAATGGTCCCTGGTCCCGCCGAGATAGGGAGAGGGAGAGCGTTCCCGCCGTAATCACGTTTCTCTCCTTTCGCGCAGTTTATTCGCGTTATGTCACTTCCAGGGAGAACGTCCTCCGGTAATCGCTGCCGACTGATTTATTCCATTGTCGTTGATAATCCCACGACACCCGGACCGTGCCGGGTCATACGTTATTGCCGATCGGTTTATAACCGATTATTATAACGCGGAATTATATCATTCGGAAGTGGTGCGTGATTATAACTTATCAATTGATCGTTGAAATTCTATATGTATTAGCATCAATTTTATTGAAAGCAGTTGTGTGATTATTCTATATTTTTATCATGCAAGTGACTTAACTTAAAAAAAATATTAATTTTTTATTGTATATGCAAAACAAAATTTGCTTTGTCATAAATAATGTTGTATAAGAAAAACTTTCTGACAGAATTTTTTAAAATACTAAATAATGCGGAATTATATCATCCGGAAGTGTTGCGTGATTAACTTATCATAATGGCATCATGGTAATTATAAATTAATCATTTGAAATCTATTATAATATATAATACATTTTTATAAAGTGACTTAACTTAAAAAAATATTAATTTTTCACTTTATGCTTAAAACAAAATTTGCTTTATCATATAAATAATGTTGTATAAAAAACTTTCTGAGAGAATGTTTTAAAACACTAAATAATGCAACTCTTCTCAAATAGAGTCAGATAAAATTTGATGATGAAAGGGTCACTATACATATATGTAACGCGTATAACGTAGAATGTTGTAATACGAATAATAAAATTTATACACTTGCAATTCGTTAAAAAGAAAAAAAGATGTGCGTTTTCATGCTACATTTCGCATTACATACGCAATATTTCATTATTGCATACGAAACGTAGAGACGTATGTACTTATACCGCATTTCATTTCCCGTCGTGCAATTTCCAACGTAAAGCATATTCGCGATTACCTCGACGTTTCCATCGAGATGAAAAGATCGCGCACGCATGCACACCGAGAGCTGGGCGTAATAATTCCGAACTCGTTCCACGTTTTAATCCATTCCGCTTCTCCCGTTGAAGCGACGACAGAGAGAGAAAAAAGGGCGAGATAGAGAGCATCCAGAAACGAACGCTCATTGTCGTAAGACGGATCTCCCTGATAGGATGCTGGATGACGCGGCGTGCTTTTGACATACCCTTTTTCCAAGTGCCCCTTTTGCAAGTCTATAAAATATCACGACAAAAACAAACGCGGACGAAGGGTGGCGATCCCTTTTAGGTCGACGTAATCTCGCGTGATTTACGCGTTTTTCGCCAACGGATTTCCGCGAGCGTCCGAATTATTTATCGCGCGTTCCGCGATCGTAAGTCGAGCTTGAGGGACTCTCTGCCTGATTTTGCGATTTTCCCCAAATCATCCCGGCCGCTTTTGCGGGATCACGAACGCTTCTTGTAACGCGCATATATATATGTATGTATAACACTGCTGATCAGACTGCTAGTGCTTCTTTATGTGGCCCTTTGTATTCCTTTGTGTGTCACTTTGATACATAACAGGTGATAAAATATCGCGCATATAATAATATATGTTATATGTGATATATCTCTTTTTGATAGACCCAATTTTGTATTTTTTACAATGTTTAATTACAAGACCCTTTTAATTGTGAAACGCAATCATGGTGAAATGGGTACTATTATAAAATGCATTTAAATTACATGAATATAAATTTATACCAACAATGTGTTACAATATTGAAGAAAAACTTGACACTAACTAAGAAAAATAAATAATTAACTAAATAGTTAACAATTATTTTTTCAATCCTTTTTCTTTCATACTACGTAAAATGTTTTTGCAATACGAGACGATTAGAATTGTGGGAACCGGATAAGATGTCGGAGGGAAGATAAAATTAATTGTGTTGCGTGGAAGAGCGGATGTCTTTTTTTTCTCGGAATGCAACAGCTAATTATTCACCGGACAAATGTATAAATAATCCTAACAGAACGCATCTACAACTCCACTGAATAATTTTCTAGTCACGAATGTTGTTGTTATATATATATATGTAAGTCAAGGCAATTTTCAGCCACGATACGTGGATTGGATCTATCCCCAAATTCTGTCGAAACAAGCCAAAAATAACGAAAACTAGTTGATCTTGCAAGATGCAAGAATGCATTCAAAGACTGGTCGAGCTATTTGCCAACTTTTTATCACTTATATTTTTGTTGATAAAATTTATCTTGGCGTTTTTCCAGACACATGTAATTTAGAACGTGCAGTTTCGAATAACTGCCGATCTCATTAATCTTATAAACGCCAGTTCATATTTACCAAAGATAATTATTCACGTCATTATTAGTAAGACTATGCGTAGGAAATAATTATACTTTATACGTAGCGTAAAAACATGCGTATAATAGATATTTAATAATGTATAGATGAAACATTCAAGTAATATTTCATTTGATAAAATTAAAAATTAATCAGATGCTTTAATAATCAAATCTATCTGTATAAGAATATTAATATTAATAATAATAATATAATACAATAATATTAATAATATATTAATATTAATAATATATTAATATTAATAATATATACAATATATTAATATTAATATTAATATTAATAATATATATAATATAATATTAATAATATATACAATAATAAAAAGGAAGTTTTCTAAGAAAAAAAAATAAAAATGTAATCTTCGATTTTTCGTATTAAAAAAAATCGTACAAGACAAGTACATCTATCATTATCGAAAAATGATAAAATATACGCGCGCATAAAACAATCTACGCTAAAGTAATAATACAATTTATTAAAAGGCACCTGTTATACGTCTCGATATACGTCTGCGAAATTATTGGATCATCTGTCATTTTGCCGCGAACGAGATATTGTATTTACAAAAGTCCCGGGAGGAAAATCTAATATACTCCGGAAAATGTGCCCGCGATAGACACGAGAGAACGTTGGAGGAGTCTGGTGAATTGGGAGAAAGCTGGGGGAGGGAGAGGAGGATAAAGAGGTTCCTCGTGGTTCGACGGTGAGACCCCCAAACCTCCCCTCGAGTAAATTACATTCCCGGCAAGCCGTATCGGATTATCCTCGCGCCGAGGCGAGGATTCGTCCGTAGGAACTTCGCCATATCGCACGCGCGCGCGAGGATACGAAAGTTTAAAATCTCTCCGGCCGAGAGAGGAAGGAAGAAGGACGAAAGAGTTCCCCGGTTAGGTTTGGCGCATTTCACCGTCGGATTATACCGGGAGTGAGTTATTCTCGTGCCAATCGTACGACCATTCTTGGTAGAACCGATAGAATTGCAGCTAGTCGCGACACGCGGTAGACGGAATTTTTTTTTTTTTTTTTTTTTTTTGCACACACATGACTTTACCGGAGTCTTTATCGATCGAAGGCGACGGATGATGCCGCAACTCGAACGTGAAAAGAAAGTTATGCACATTTGAATATCTTCCTCCTTGAAATTGATTTTTGCGAGTGACATTTAGCTGTCAGTGATCTGTCAGTTTTCTTCGTATACTCTTAACATTATGAATTTTTCCAAAAATTGCTAATGTAAATTACAATTGACTTCCTCGATGAATACATCGAAAACTAGCGTGAATATGTAGTCGAATAATTTATTATTCACAGATATTGCAGATGTAAGGTATAAGTAGGGAGAAGCACTTTTCGCGCATTTTCCACATTTTTGGCAGAGTGTGCAAAATTTTTTGCTCATTCGTCGACGACGAATCATCACGTTGGCTCGCTAAAGGGCGATAATTCGCGGGTTCTGCCGTGACAAAAAGCAGGAATTAGTAGTTCTCCCTCGAGAGGAGGCCGTCCGTCGTTAAGGCCGCACTTATTGCGATGTAATAAGCGTCGTTTTCCGTCCCGAAACCGGACGGAATTACATACTTTTAGTGCGGCTCGTTTTTCATTATTCAAAAGTAAGATGAAACTGCGATCCCGCGTGCTTTCGACGAG